AAAATACAAAAATTAGCTGGGCAAGGTGGCACATACATGTAGTCCCAGCTACTCAGGAGGCTGAGGCAGGAGAATTGCTTGAACCTGGGAGGCAGAGGTTGCAGTGAGCCTAGACTGCGCCACTGCACTCCAGCCTGGGAAACAGAGCAAGACTTTGTCTCCAAAAAAAAAAAAAAGAATTATGGAGCAAGGACATCACATCTGTCCTAATTCTCCCTACTTTCAAATGGCAAAAACTTAGGAGAAGGGCATGAAAAGCTAATCTGGCCAGCACATTACGGTGTGCACATTTTTATCTACAGGTGAAAATTCGTCTCATATAAAACACGAGCCTGTTTATTAGTAAGAATGGAAGCATATAACCAGCTTTCTGCGTCAGAAAGTGTCACAATTCCAAGGAAGAGAACATGCAGTTCATAAAGCGTGCACTCGCTTCAAGGTTGTGCTTTCCCAAGGTATGCTTTCTGACTTGGGAAGGCAGCTATTCATCAACGCATTATCTTGACTCATAAGCATTACAGGTCACAAACCGAAACCAGGACTTTTGATCTGGAGCAGTGTGGTGGGATGAGTGGGTCTTAGGTGTCATTTGCTACTGTGTCCTTGTCAGTTGCCTCCTAACATCCACTTGCTGCTTCTCCTGTGCCCAACTATTCCTAGGTTTTGCTTTAGGGGAACTATATATGGTCTCCTTGCAGCCATGTGGTTTGCAGGGACTCAGTTCGATCTGAGCACATAACTCCATGAGGGGCAGTGAAAAGCAAAAGGACATTCTCCCCCTGAAAGAAAGCAGTGTTCCTTTACAGGTGTTACTAAAAGGCACCTGCTGTCTTTTCCTGGACACAGTAGTGAGAGGATGTGAGGCCTGGAGCTGACGAGCCACTCTGATAGCACCTGGGGCCTGCAACTAAAGCCAATACTGCAGAGGACAGAGCTCAGAAGGAAAGAAACCAAGTTTTGATGAGGTTGTTTGAGCCCTGACTCCAGCCCTACCTGAATTTCTCCCTGAACTTTCCAGGTACATGTGCCATAAATTATTTTTGCCTAAGTTAGTCTGGTTTCTATCAGCTGCTATTACAAAATATTCTAAGGGATCCAACTATTTACTCATTCAACACACAAGGTCACCTGGGGGCTACAAAGACACAGAAGAGAGAAGGACCCAAAATGTCAACAAAGATGCACAGTCAAGTTCCATAAACGCCACGGAAGAAAGACATGGCATATACTGTTGGCTGGCTGACCAAGCACCAATTTCTGACCCCATTCTCATTCCCCACCTATATCACAGATTCTAGGAAAGCTAAATATTTATTTTCTCAGCCTGTCTTGCAATTAGAGGTGGCTATGAGACACACTGCCTGTTAATGAGATGGGGGCAGAAGCCTACTCAAATCTGCCAAGAACATTTTTGCTTCCCTATTAAGCAAAAGATAGACATCCCTAGACCTGCCCCTTCTCCTTTCTTTCTGCCTGGGATGTAGATGTGTTGTCTGGAGCTGCAGCAGCCATCTGGTAATCATGAGGTAAAGACAGAATGACAGAGAGGCCACTTGTTTCCAGCTTCTTAATAGACTAGAAAAATAACTTCCTATTGACTATCTACTACTAGGTCTTTTGTCCTTTACAGTTGAAATAATTCCTAACTTACAAAGACAATATAGTCATTTCTACCTGGGTGACTCCAGAAAAGGCTTTATAGAGGACATAATCCTTGAACTAAAATCGTGAAAGATGACTAAGTATCGTCAGGCAGCGCAGGGAAGCACAGGTATTCCAAGCCAGAGATAAAGCCTAAATGCAGGAACAAAACCGGGCACACATTTGGCCCACTCTTAAGTATTTCCACAAGGAAAAGCAGGAGCGCAGGACCAGGAAAATAGGGGGCTCACAATCAAGTCTGGAGACAGGGCAGGCCACAGAGGCCCTGCAAGCCATGCAAAGCAAGTACATTAGAGTCTGTTCTCTAAGCGGTGGGGAGCAGAGCAGGCTACGAGATATTCCGGCTCTCCAAATGTTCCAAAGACATTCCCTTTCATTTGACCAGTCATGCTGACGTCCCGTGGGTTTACCACACTGAATCTCAGGCAGTTCTTCTTCCCAGTTTTCAACGAGACCAGGTACGATCCACGTGATGAAGGAGTCCCAGGACACTTAGGGGTTACTTCTCTAGCTAAAGTCTTCAGAAAACCATCACGAATATGTTTACACAGATGGTGGGTCATACCTAAAATCAGATTTTTGAAAACAACCCATGGCCAGGCGTAGTGGCTCACGCCTGTAATCCCAACACTTTGAGGAGGCCGAGGCGGGCAGATCACAAGGTCAGGAGTTCGAGACCAACCTGGTCAATATGGTGAAACCCCGTCTCTACTAAAAATACAAAAATTAGCTGGTTGTGGTGCCACGTGCCTGTAGTCCCAGCTACTCAGGAGGCTGAGGCAGAAGAATCACTTGAACCCGGGAGGCGGAGGTTGCAGTGAGCCAAGATTATGCCACTGCACTCCAGCCTGGGCAACAGAGCAAAACGACATCCCCCTCCAAAAAAAAAAACCACAGTCCATGACCACACCAGGCAAGAGCAATGGCACCAGGATGCCAGGCAAGACTCAGCTGTTTGCAGGGAGCTCCGCCATAAGGGCCACAGGACCCTAACAGTGAAAGAGACGCACTGCCCAGGAAAGGGAGGCTCACAGAAGATTTGGAAAACAGCGCCTGCCCAAATGGTAGACTTTTATACTTTCACCCAATCTGTCTTTTCTAATGTTTTTTTTTGGTTTTTTTTTTTTTTTTTTTGAATGGTTTCACTGAAGTGCCGACGCCCGCAGCCTCCGGGTAGCACCAGGCCCAATCGGATTGTGAGAATGGGTTACTACCAGGATCCGACTGTACGTTTCCAAGTGTGGCCTGGCTTTGAATAAACAGACCAGGTGTGACAGAAAAACGTCTCCAAGAAGAAAACTAAGACGTACTGAGCGCTTCCCAGGCGCTAGGCATGGTGCTCTGTGCTTTCGTGTGCCTCTGCTCAGCTGAAACAGAACCAGACCACCCTGTGTGGGGCAATTTTTAAGCCTCGTTTAAAGATGAAGAAAACGAAGTGTAAAGAGGCTGCTTCTTTACCAAGGCCACGCACAAGCGAGAGTGAACCCACCGCCTCTCGCTTCACTCCAGGCCTGCCTGGCGGGCTGTGAGGAGAACAAGCATGCTCCTTCCTTGGTTCCAATGACCTGCAAAGACCAATCATCCCCAGCTTCAGGGACAAGAAGCCTGAGCTCCTGGATATCTACACACAGCACCAAACACCCAGAATGTTCTGTAAGCTTCATAACATTCTACTAGGCAAGGTTTTCTAAATTTAAAAATGATTCAAGTCATGATGTAAATATAAAATTATTAAGAAAGGCTTTTCTAGGCCTTAATCTTTAAAAAATGAATCATGCCCTTAATCCCAAGTCAAATACGTTCGGCTCTAAGTCTTAGTCATAGAAAAGCCTCAAAGGCCCTTCCCTCCACAGCCTGCATCAGTGCTGAGCAAGCACTGGGCATGCAGGGCAGCCACGCCATTCCTGGACCCTCCGTACAGCGGTGCGGCAAGTCCCTCTGGACATTCGGAGGAGCAGCCAGAGCAACTTCTCAGGCCGCAGCCACGCCGTTTGGATGCTGCTCTTTGCAGCTCTGTCTGATGAACAATCTCAGCAGTGTCCTTCAGAACGCCTTAAAATTCCAGTGTGGCCTGCCAGGGGCTGCAATGCACAGCGACCCTTTCTGCCCCCACTTCTTGGGAGCACACAACTCTTTGGCAAAAAGAAACCATTTCATTTGGCAGTACTATACTTGCCTTCAAAGAAATGCAGGGAGAAAGAAAACGAACATTTGTTAAGCACCATACACATGCTTTTACATGTTACTTCATTGAATTCTCATAATAGCTTAATGCTATGGGTTTTCATTCTTAATTGTGGGAGCATAGTGGGGAGATAAGCAAACTGATACCCAGGAGGTTAAGTGACTCGTTCATGGAATGCAGCAGGCCTGTGAGTCAAAGCCCAGGGCATGGCAAGACCAAGTGAAGCTGGGGAACAACAGCCAAGCCAAGAGCGTTTTAAAGATACTTAGCATCTTCATCACACCGAATCCTAAGGCTACAGCACTTCCAACCAACAGCAAAATGTCAAATTCAACTGTTTCTTTCCAGTCTTCAAACAAATCTTTCAGAAATTCAGAAATCACCTCACAAGACTAGTTCATAAAGCTTTCGCAGGTCCTAAGCCTGGAGTGGTTAAGAAAAAACAAAACCCCTCTGCAAGGACCCACTTCGCACGTGCCATAGGGTCTCCGCTCTCAAATCGCACACTCTTAGGAGTGACAGTTACACAGAAAGGACGGCACATGGCAGCAAATCCTGGGAGAGTGGTGAGCAATGGGTGCCCTGGAAAGTCAGGGAGCTCGCCTCTCAGAAAAGGTGTCCTGGAAACGGGGCTGAGGATGAGTGTGGAGGAACAAGGGAGCACAGACAGAATGAAGACGGGAGAGGAGACAGCCTGCCAGGCAGAGGCCGTGCAGAGCAAAGGCGGGAGCTGGCGAGCGCTCGTGTGGGTGAGGAGCTGCCCTGTTCCCGTGTGGCTGGGGTGCATGGCCTGCGGCAAGGGAAACGACTGAAAGCTTCCAAGGAGAAGATGATGTGGTCATGCCAGTTTCCACTGCGGTGTAGTGGTCGCAAGGCAGGCTTTGGAACCAAGCAAGGCTGGGTGCAGACGGGACTCTGCCATTCAATGGGCATGGAACTGCAGCAGTTACGGAATGTCACTGGCCCTGACTCTCTCATCTCTAAAATACTTACTTCCATGTCATAGGGCCACTTTCCAGTTTAATGAGATAATGAACCTGATACATAGCCAACCAAAAATGGGAGCTCTTCTAAAGACCTCTATTCACAATCAGACTAGCGGACGGTGTCCCGGAGGGCAGCTGCCTTTCCCGCTCCGCAGGGCCCATCTCACCTGACGATGGGAAGCTTGGTGAAGGGTACCGGCGGCAGGGTGAGGCCGCCAGGGAGCGCGATGGGTTCCATGGTCCCAGGACACTTGGACGTATAGTTCTCTAGGCTTTGGGTCACATCTTTCTTTTCTGAAGAGAAGATGAAAACAAAATAAAGATTTATTAGGCAAAAGTCAAAGTGGCTGGCTTTCATTTTACTTGGGGCATTTCATGACAGTCCAATGAGTCCAATCTTCTGACAGAAATTAAGGGGCAGTGAGCAAAAGAGGCCAGAACAAAACAGAAGCTATATTCCACTTATTTGAAAATCACCAGCAACTGCTCCTCGTAAGGGCCTGTGGATAAAAGGGAAATTAAGTTAGTATCCTCCAGGAGACTTCCATTTTCCAAGAAAATAAACCCTTATCAAATTTCAAGAAAGTCTGTAGGCAGGACTAGAGAATCAGTACATTTTATAACTTAACAATACTTTTTCGGCAATTACTAGGTAATTACCAAGCAAAACGCCAGGACCTGTCTGTCCCTCAGGAGTCTGTAATTTATCTGTATGACAGATACTTAGGCAAATAAGTGCAAATCAACATTTTTGAAGCAAATGTAGAGCTTTGTGAGAAAAGACTGTTGTTCCCCACCCCGCCCCCGTCCCTTTCACAAGGAGGGAGGAAAAGAGGACACAGGCGATAATCATGTCCGCTTACTGCCCACGGCACACTCTAGACAGGCCACAGACACAGACCCCTTCTCACCACAGCACGACAGAGCTCAGGAGCACCGCTGTGCTCTATGACTCAGGCTGGCTCAGGAAGGCAGGCACTCGGGTCCCCACTTTGCAAATGAAAAACCTGAGACCAAGTGAAGTTAAGCAGCTTGTCAAAGACCATGTACTTGGCCTTAGGCCTGTGGTTTTCTCACTAGAGTGTTTTAAAGAATTAAGGAAAGGATGGGATTACGGGACAGGTGTGAACAAGGGAGTCTCTCCTTGCAGCATCTACCTTCTCTGTGAAATACTGAAGTCACTGCTGATGAGGAAGACAGAGGACTTGGAGAGAAGAGCAGCAGAGGGACACGATCACCAGGGATGAGACCTAGAACAGCGAAGTTAGATCCCACTCCAGGAGACGCCTTGGTCTTTCCCTGTCTAGTGTGCTACCACCTTAGGGGAAGTCCTTCAACAGTTCTGCATCTTGTTTGCCTACAGTAAGAGGAGTGCCTGTATCAGGAATTACTAAGGATAAATGAGATAATGCATTAAAAAAAAAACAATGACTGGCAGATACGGTGCACTGAATAAACGGAAATGATAATAACCATTATCATCATTATCATATAGATGCACTGGAATGGACAAAGAGCAGGTAAATAGCTGCAAAGTGAAGCCAAGTGCTCCACTGAAGCTGGTGACCATAAATAATAAATATCAGGGCAAGGACTTCATAGAGCTCAGGCACACGTATTAATTGGTAAACTGCTACCATAGGAATTGTCTGTGCCTAAGCAAAGCATTCTTCTTTTTTTTTTTTTTTTTTTTTTTTGAAACGGGTTCTCACTAGTCTCCCAGGCTGGAGTGCAGAGGTACAATCTTAGCTCACTGCAACCTCCGCCTCCCAGGTTCAAGCAATCCTCCCACCTCAGCCTCCTAAGTAGCTGAGACTATAGGCATGTGTCACCATGCTTGGCTGATTTTTTAATTTTTGGTAGAGATGAGGTCTCACTACATTGCCCAGGCTAGTCTTGAACTCCTGGGCTCAAGTGATCCCCCCGCCTTGGCCTTCCAAAGTGCGGGGATTACAGGCATGAGCCATCACACCCAGCCTGCATCATTCTTAGGAAGCCAGAGAGCAGAGCAGAAAAGTGACCAAAATGACTTTTGAATACAACACAACAAGGTTAATCTGAAACATGAAAAAAGTCTTTAAATAACTTAACCATTCTCAATCTATAAAAATCTCCCAAAGGGCTCCAGCTGATACCATGTATATTATCTAATTTGCCTAATGTTAGGCAGAGCACTTATGGGTGAGGTATCCTATTCAGTTGAAATCTACCACCCCATACGCACTCTCGGTAAATGCTGCTGAAATGAAGAAGGAAAGGGATCTATTTGCAGTGCCTCATGCCACTTGCACTGTTATCCAAGAAAGGAAAGGCACCACAGTGTATCATTCGGCTAAGCTCTGAACGGCATTTCTAGACAGAAAATAACGTACACACTGAGTAGCACAGGGAAGCTGCTTCACTGCAGCGTGGTCTGGCTGTGCCATTTCATTAGAGAACCCCCGTGTTTGTGCTTTAGGTCTGGTCACTATCCTGTGGAGGAATTTCCTATGTAGGGGTACAGCCTGGCTATGAGCACTCTCAGAGCTTTGTGGAAGGCTAGGTTGGGGGTACCTCAATATTCACTTATTCCCCTTGAGCGTTGCAGGGCACACCTCTCCGGCTGTGCCTGGTGACTCCCTGAAGGGAGTCAAATGCTCATCTTCTGCTGGGACGGAAAAGAGACCGTCGCCTGCTGCAGGGGCAGAGGTGATCTGTGGATATGTAACCGATCATCAGTGATTTTCAGCAGTGCCTACTGTTGCGTGGTGCTCCTGCTAGGCACGGGGAATGGGGGTTGCTTCTTGGCTTTCCCCTACTACCACACGACCCCATTGCCACTTCAGTGGGGTTTCCAGAGTCAAATGCTTATGCCCAGTTGTCAGCATGGCCCATCCAGTGCAAAGGCCCCATCCACCTTCTCCTAAAGGATTCAAGTGTCGGCTATAAATTGTTGCCAGATCTATTATTTCATCAGGAATTACAAACTGGTGATTTTCTAATTCTCTAATTCCTCTGCACTTATAAGCTAGAACTTGTCTATAAGGAAGGATTTTTTTCCTCATCAATCATTTGGTTATCCTGGAACACAGACAACACAGACATTAATATATAGTTGAGTCTTTCCCTTTATTTACTGAGTGGAGAACTCTTGCCCTATCAAACTCCAGTAATGACCAATGCGTTGTTTTGTTTATTGTTTGGTATCATTACGTATTGATGGATTTTTATCTAACTGATGTTTCTGTTGTCATCACATCCTTTTTTATTTCTAATTGATACATAATAATTGTACATATTTATGGGGTACAGTATGATGTTTCAACGCACTTATTGTGTAACAATCAAATCAGGGTAATCAGCATACACACTGCCTCAAACATTTATCGGTTCTTTGTGATAAGAGCATTCAAATTCCTCTCTTCTAGCTTTTTTGAAATATACCTTTATGTGAACTATAGTCACCTAACCGTGCATTAGTATACCAGAACTTACTTCTTCCATCTAACCAGAGCATTGTATCCACTGTGCATCCTCTCCCCATCTCCCTTCCCCCGACCATCCCCAGCCTCTTCTAACCTCTATTCTGTTAATTCCATGAGACAAATGTTTAAAAATTTCATACCTGGCCGGGCGCGGTGGCTCAAGCCTGTAATCCCAGCACTTTGGGAGGCCGAGACAGGCGGATCACGAGGTCAGGAGATCGAGACCATCCTGGCTAATCCGGTGAAACCCTGTCTCTACTAAAAAATACAAAAAAACAACTAGCCGGGAGAGGTGGCGGGCACCTGCAGTCCCAGCTACTCAGGAGGCTGAGGCAGGAGAATGGCGTAAACCCGGGAGGCAGAGCTTCCAGTGAGTTGAGATCCGGCCACTGCATTCCAGCCTGGGCGACAGAGCGAGACTCCATCTCAAAAAAAAAAAAAAATTTCACACCTGAGGGAGACCATGCAGGAGGACTTGTCTTTCTGTGCCTGGCTTTTTTCACTTAACATATGCCCTCCAGGTTCATCTGTGTTGTTGCAAATGACAGGATTTAATTCTTTTTTATGGCTGAATAGTATTCCACTGTGTATCTATATCACATTTTCTTTATCCATTCATCTGCTGAATGGCACTTAGGTTGATTCCATATCTCGGCTATTTGAACAGTGCCGCACTAAATACAGGCATGCAGTCATCCCTTCAACACTGACTTCTTTTCCTTTGGATATATGCTCAGTAGTGGAATGGAAGATCATACAGTGGTTCTATTTTCAAGTTTTCTGAGGAACCCCCATACTGTTTAACATAATGGCCGTACTAATTTACATGCCCACCAATAGTGTGTAAAGGATCCCTTTTCTTCACCTCCTCACCAACATTTCATCTTTTGACTTTCTGATAATAGGCATTCCCACTGGAGAAAGGTGATTTCTCATGGTGGTTTTGATTTGCATTTCCCTGATGATTAGTGATGTTGAACATTTTTTCACATATCTTTTGGCTATTTGTATGTCTGGGTTTTTTGTTTTTTTTTTTTGTGGGGGGAGGGCATGTGAGATTATAAGGGCTGATTTTGAGAGATAAAATACGTTCAGTTTCTCTACATATTAATCATTATTGTCAAAGGCACACAGATGCAAGACCAGCATATGGGCCCCTGTGCCAGATTAACAAGGTTTTCTTGAAGCAGTAACCAACTCCTTAGTAAAGGTTATAAAGATTATAAAAGGCTTATGAAAGCTGTATCTTACGTTCAAGATTAAAATTTTATAGATAGTTCATAAAATTTTGAAAAACAAATTTAATTGGCTTCATGCTATTTTATTAGGGCATATTGTTTGGAAAATTCAGTCTTCTTTCTCAAAGAATGAAGGTTTTCACCTTTTTTAAAAAAATCCTTGAATTATTACTTTGGTCAAATGAATGACTTATTTTATAATTATCTGTGATACCAAGTGTTTTAAACTTCTGACCTTTCCAAAATCAAATTATAAATTATGTCTTTTTCTGACCTAATTAATCCTTTAAGATATTAGGTTCCCTAAAGTCCAAAAGTTATATAATTTGTCTTATTTGGTATAAAAATTACACAGGAAACATTGTCAAATATGAAATGGTGTTTAGTTCTCTTTAGGTTATATTTATACAAATATGTTATTGGTATGTGTTCCAAAATCAAGGGAAACTCCTATAATTCTGATATGACATAGTGTACATTATCAATAATAATTATAATTGTTATGTTAAATTATTGTGTGCTACAGAGGTAACAAATTTCTTTATGGATTATATCTTTGACTATGGCTGCCCTAAAACCTTTTGTCATCCAC